CGGGGAGCGCGGGGCCGGGGCCCAGGGGACCCCGGGCTACGGAGAGCGGGAAGAGGATGGACTGCCCGGCCCTCCCCCCCGGATGGAAGAAGGAGGAAGTGATCCGAAAATCTGGGCTCAGTGCCGGCAAGAGCGATGTCTACTACTTCAGGTACCTCCCTGGGGGCGGGGAGGGGGGCACGGGGTCAGGCCGAGGTCAAGGGTCAAGAGCTGGCCAGGTCCGGGGATGCAAGATGGGAGCAGGGGCCCCAAGGGTATGTGGCAAGGACAGGCAGGCCTGGTAATGGAAGGTGTCTGGAACCCTTGGGTGAGATTGACCCTAGCATAGTGAGAGGTGGAGTCTGAAAGGTAAGGGTGTCTTATGTCCAGGCGTCAAGGAAGATAGTTTTGAAGAAAGGGTTACTCTAGCAGGGATGGTTAGTACACTGAAGGGTTAAAAAGAAGGTGTAATTCATCGAAACTATAAAACACAGTCACCGTTGGCTCTTGTCCCAGCCTGTCCTAGATTCATCATCACAAGAGTTGTTTAATCATGCACATGTAGAAGAATTAGCTGTCTACAGGAACAAGATTTCAGTACTTGGTGGCATCCAGGAAAGTTTCATATGAAGTAGCCACTTAGAATGCCTGAAGTTTTTTGGAGCTCTTTGGTGTTGCAGAACGTGTTCTCTTTTGACATCGGAAACACTGTATTGAATTGTTAGAAGCCTAGACCAGCGTTTGCCCCCCAGGGAACATTTGGCAATGTCTGGAGACATTTATGCTTCTCACACCTGGGGAGGGACTGCTACTGGCATCTAGCGGATAGAGGCCAGAGATGCTATCCTTTAAAGCATATGCCAGCCCCCGCAATAAAGAATTATCTGCCCCCAAAGGTTGAGAATTCTGGTTTAAATACTTAAGGGTTTTCCACTTTAATGTAGTCTTGCAATCCTGTGGTCATGATGTTCATGTCCTTAGTTTGTCTAATAGTAAACTCAGGAAACTGTGGTTATCGATACTATTGGAATTATAAACAAATTTGTGGAATTGTATTATAAATAAGTTTAAGGAATTTTCTTATAAGCCTTTCCATTGAGAGAAGAGTATAAACATGTTGTATCCAGTGGTTTGGAGGGCCGTGTTTATGGACTGAAGCATGTTTCAGGAACGTGTTTGAATGTTGGAGCCAGTTAGCCATCTGAATAATGTTATGAAGGATTTCTCTTCTGTCATTCTACTGGGAAAATTTGTATATACATATAATACAATGTTTATGAATTGCAAGTACTCAAATAGATTTAAAAAAGTTACACAAACGTCTGTACATAAGTACATACAAGAATGAGTACTGTTGAGTTAGTGTTGATACTTTTTTTTGGTGGTGATTCCCGGGATCAAACCCCGGGCCTCTGGCATCTGTAGACAAGTGAACTGTCTGTTCAGTCCCTGAACATTTTCTTCATGGCTGTCAAATGTATGGATGAGTAGTTTCCATAAATTCATCTTACCCTTTTAAGTTAAAAAACTATAAAAAAGTTGATGCTGCACTAGAATTTATATTTTAACTTGAGACCACACATCTTGAAATCTGAAATGATAAAATGAAAAACTTTTAAAAACATACAAGTGATTAATTTGAATTTCCCTATGATTAAATATTTGATTTAATGCTATAAAAGTTTTTGTAGTTAAAAAAGTTTCTTTTCCCAAGTTCATTTGTTTCATGTAGTGCTATTCACAATTGTTCAATTTTATGTGTTCTTTCATTTATAGCACATTCTGTTTTCTAAGTAGGCAGTCTGTATAACCTTCTGTGAACTGTGGGCTGATGTAGGCAATTACATTTGACAAGAATATTCTGTGTCTGGGATTGAACTCCTTGAGGTCTAGTTGCAGTTGAGCATCTTAAACTTTCAATTTCACATCCTGTGGCAGTTCTCTTGGGATATAGTTTGTTTGGTTTTAGGGTGATGTATTTGTTCAAAGTAACTTTTGGTTATTGCAAAGTGTTTCTCTCCTCTCTTCCCTCTCAGTGCCCTCTCTGGGGGCACCATGACACATGCCTGTAGTTACAAATACTTGGGTGGTTGAGGCAGAAAATCTATTGAACCAAGGAGTTCAAGGCCATCCTGGGCAACATAGCCAGACCCTGTCTCTAAAATAACACAGCTATAACTTTGGGCTAGGGGGATAGCTCCATGGTAGAGTGCTGCCTAGCATTGTCAAGGCTCTGGTCTTGATCTCCAGCGCTGCAAGAAAATAGAAAGGTTGTTGTGCACATTTCAAATGTGGTTAAAACATTTTCTTGAGAGTGTTGTCAATTTTTTTGGGCGGGGGACAATGGGGATTGAACCCAGTATTTTGAACATGCTAGGCAAAGGCTCTACCACTAAGTTACACTGCCAGCCCTTTTTATTTTTCAGACAGCATCTTGCTAAGTTGAGCAGGCTGGCCTTGAACTTATGATCTTCCTGCCTCAGTCTCCAGAGTAGCTGAGGATTACAGACATGTGCCATCCTGCTCGCTGTTAAAATTTTTATACAAATGTGGTAAATATTTTATGGCAGAAAAATATGATAGAATTGATTTAAAACAAACTTTCTAAGCAAATTAATCTTAAGGCAAATCAAAGACCATTTTAGTGATAATTACTGTATAGTCCTTTTTATGAGATGCTGCATAATAATTTTTTACTTGTTTATGCAAAATGGAAAGGACACATTGAACAGAGTTCTGTTACTTGTGTTTTGTTCAGGTTTAGAAAGAGAATTGTCTATAGTTTATTGACTGCCAACAGAGTCTTAGTCAGTCTCAGATTGTTAATACCCTATCTTGATTTCCTTCTGAGAGTTTACTTTCTGAAACAGTAGAATGATATGTAGCATGGTGTAACAGCAGTGTAGGAATTACTTTTACGTGTGACTTCAGCTTTCTGTGATGAATGATGATACTCACCTATTTATTTTAAAAGAGGACAAATTATTTTTCAACCCACAGTGTTGTGTTTTACACACTAGTGTCCCCATGTGCACCCCCCTCTTGAAAAAAAAACAATAGATCACAAAGCCTCTGTCATATTAAATAAATGGGTTTAAAAGTGAACTCTGTTGTTAATGAACACCTGCCCCCAGTTTTTCACACAGATTCTAATAATGGTATCCCCTGAATTAGCCTGCCCCTGGGGAAATTAATTTAAACTAATCTGTGCCTGTTAACATAGGGTGTGGCTGACACTTGTTAGTTGGACTGAATTTAAGCTCATGGAGAAAGCTTCATATTTTGGTAGAATATTTTTTGGTTGCTTCTTGAAATTGCCAAGTTCTAACAGGAGGGCATGGCTCTGGTTCCAGTTAAGCAATATCACTATGCCTTCTATTAGGATTCTTGATAGTGTTATGGCAGTTCATATATCATCCAAAGTTTTTTAAAAGGATGTGGCTTGATAAAAAAAATAATCAGGCCCATTGCTATAGTTTCTGAAAAAGTTCATTGCCGTCATTTGAACCCATCATTTGAAGAGTAATTTTCTAACTGGTCTCCTAGATCGTATCATTTCTAGTTTTGATAAGACTTGATCATTGGCAGTTTTGAAGTATTTTCCTCCTCATAGGATCCTTAAATAACTCTTGCTTGCCTTTTTTAAAGTCACATCTAAACTTGTGTTTTAGAGTCTAGGTTGTAACTGGGGGTCATGATAAACTGTTACAGTTGCTGTCACAACATATCCTCTGTTTGGATATTGAAAGCATAGTAGTAAACATTTTTGATTCTTAAAAAAGTTATGATGCGTTTGTACAGAACACTTCTCTGGGGGAAAAACGGTCCAGTGGAACCAGAGAATTAAAGTAAATGAAGTGAGCATAGGCATAAGAAGAAAAATTTAAAAAGATTTTGCATTCTTGATCTGGAAAGAGGACTCAGATTCAATTGAGGTCTATAAAATCATGAGTGATCTTAATAAAAATAGGAGCATAGGAAAGGCAGCAGAGCCTAGGAATTGAGGGACATGGAGGTGGTATTCCAACTCCTCAGTGATGAGTGGTGCCACCTTAAACAGTTGTAAGATGGGTATGATTGTTACCTGTACCTCATATAAATTTGTAGATCTTTTGAAGCTTTAGACATATTTAAGGACTAATTAAGAAAAAACAATTCTTAATAGCTAACCCCAGTTGTATGGATTGTACATATAAATAGGTTTAAAATTTGTAGAGGTATATTACACTTGTTATTAAAAACTGGTATCATGCTTTGAAGGTCTGAGTTCTGAAACATCAAGGATGTCTAAGTCTAACCAAACTTCCATCATTTCTTTTGTGTTTAAAAACAAAAACAAAAACCCAAACAGTCTTTTTGGTAATATTTGTAGAAAACTGGTTGAATGGACCAGGGGAGTGAATGTGACCGTTGTTACAGTTCTTAAATATCTTTATTATTAAAGTCATGTTAGATTTCAGTAAAAAGACTTCCCCCATGTTACGTATTGAACATCTCTAATCCAAAAATCTGAATTTGAAATGCTTCAAAATCTGAAAATTGCAGACAACGCAATATAAGTAGAACTTTCCATGCCTGGCTGCTTATGATAGATCACAGTCAAAATGCACTAAAATTATTGCATAAAATCACCTTCAGGCTCTATGTATAAGGTGTTATGAAACAAATTAATTTTATGTTTAACCTTGGGTCCCATCCCATAAGTTTGTCATCATTGTATATGTAAATACTATAAAACCTGAAAAAAAATCTGAAATTAGAAATACTTCTGGTCTCTGGCATTTTGGATAAGAGATGCTTAGCCTGTATATTCTTTTGTTTATTTATTTTTAGTTACTGGGGATTGAACCCAGGGGCACTGTACCATTGAGCTATATCCTTAGCCTTTTTTATTTTTGCTGAGGTAGGGCACTAAGTTAGTTGGGTTTCTCAAAACTGCTGAGTCTGGTTTCCAACTTGGTGATCCTCCTGCCTCAGCCTTCTGAGTTGCTGTGATGACAGGTGTGTGCCACCATGCCTGGCTAGCCAGTTTATTTTTCCTGGTTATTCCTTTGTAGTTAAACCCGGCACTTACTGGATTACTTTCATATTCATTACCGTGGAACCTGTGGTTTTCTCACATAGCTGTCTTCCTTCCCCGTAAACACGATACTGAACACAGAGATGCTAAAT